GGTAGCAGTTTGTCACAATCTTAAAAGCCTCCAGATGGTAGAGATTTGTTGTCATTTATGGCAGAGGTAGGTTTTAACAGGAGGTTGGTAAGAGGGTAGGGTGGTGGCTTTGTGAATTTTTACTGAAAGATTTTAAAGTTCTCCAATTAGGGTCTGTTTATATTCGTTCTTGTTGAAGATGAAGGAACTGAGGCTATTGGAAATTATCTAGATCCGTTTTTGTAAGCTGTTAATGGCTAAGCCTATGAAGAATCCAGGGTTTTTTGTTTTTGTTAAAGTAAGCAAATGCCCTGATCTTCCACCCAGGCCAGTACAGTGCATTAGGTACTCTTCTCAGCCCACAGTTATAAAGACCACTCTCCTATTCATGGTTGGCATTTGTCAAGATTCCCTTCAGAACAGAGGTGGCTAAACTACGGCCCGGGTGTCACATCCAGCCCTCCAGATGTTTTAATGCGGCCCTCGAGCTCCCACTGGGGAGTGGGGTCGGGGGCTAGCCCCGCTCCAGTGCTCCAGCCGGGAGCAGGGTTGGGGGCTTGCCCCGCTCCGCACGGCTCCTGGAAGCAGCGGCATATCCCCCCTCCGGCTCCTACGGGTAGGGCACCCAGGGGGCTCCGCATGCTGCCCCTGCCCCAAGCGCCACCCCTGCAGCTCCCATTGGCCAGGAAACGCGGCCAATGGGAGCTGCAGAGGCGGCGCCTGCAGACGGGGCAGCATGCAGAGCTGCCTGGCCACGCCTCCGTGTAGGAGCCGGAGGGGGGGACATTGCCGCTGCTTCTGGGAGCTGCTTGAGGTAGGCGCTGCCTGGAGCCTGCACCCGTGACCCCGTCCTGCGCCCCAACCCCTGCCCTAGCCCTGATTCCTCTCCCGCCCTCCAAACCCCTCGGTCCCAGCCCAGAGCACCCTCCTGCACCCCCAACCCCTCCACGCCAGAGCCCACACCCCCAGCCAGAGCCCTCACCCACTCCTACACCCCAACCCCTATTTCGTGAGCATTCGTGGCCCGCCATAAAATTTCCATACCCAGATGTGGCCCTTGCCCACCCCTGCTTTAGAACATTTATGGAGAAAGTGCATCACTTGAAAACTTTTTTTTAGGCCTTTATAACTTGGCTGAGAAGAATCTCCTCTCTGCCTCCCTTTTTCCCCTTACATTATCTTCTAGAGGCAGATGCGAGCCTGTTGAAAAATGCTTTTGTGCTTAGCCTATAATGTGAACTACTTCCACCAGGTGGTATTAACCTGTCCATTTTATTTATTTTTTAGCAGTGATTTTTCAGCTAATGCACAGCAACATTCTCATATTTAGTCTTTGCATCCGGATTTTAATCCTGTCTATGAACTACTCCACTGACTCAATATTCTGAGCCATAATTATTGCTTTCGATCTTGCAGTCTCCAGGCAAGCTGCTCTCCTGATGAAGTCAGGGTAACATTATTGCCTTCTTCAAGACTACCGCAGTGGGCGCCCTAACACTAAGCCCTCTGATGATTTTAAAGTGATGTTATAAATAAACTGTTGGGATTTTTAAATGATATCTAGCTAAACATAGAACTGCACCATATTATGGATGGACATACAATGAATTTTAATGGCTACAAAGGAACCACTAAAATCTGAGTAAATAGATGCATTAGAATTGTCTAGATATGAATTTACACAACAGAGTTCAATGGCATCTTTTGAGATGCTGTATTCTGATGGCTAGACGGCTATATATTTCGGTGGTAGCTATTTTCCCTTTAAATACCTCAGAAACTCAACCCTGTGCGCTTAAAGGGTCAAACTTTTACTCCCCAAAGCAAACTATAAAATGTACAAACCCTGCTCTAAAGTAAATGGTCTAATAGGCATTATGTTCTGATCTGAGATCTTACAGTCAGCTAGGGTTTGTGGCTGTTGCTTTCTTTTTAAACGTCCTATTGCAAGCCGGGGAGCTCAGCTACCATATTTGGAGCTCATATGCCTGTCCACTGACCTCATATCTGCTTGTTTGAGGGTTTGTGTGTTTTTACTTGTCCATATATGGAAAGGCTGCTTGTGGAGTCTGGTATCTGACCTGAATTAGAAGTAATTCAACATCTATATGGAGTTCAGCTTTTGTCAGGATGCACTAATTAGGCTAAAGTCAGGACTTCAGCTGCTTTCACTGGGAAGGAGGCGGTCTGAAGAAAGCAAATTTACTGTTGAATCCTGCTTTTTCATTATAAACCATACCTACCCTTGCAAACAATCTCCTTCATCCTGGTGTAGTCATAAAGAAGCAAACCAGAGCGTAAACAGAAGACGTCTCTCGATTAGGAAACTAATATTTTATGAATGACAATAATCAAAGCCAACTTTCATGTGAAGCCATCAAAATCTTTTGCAGTAGAGATCCCTGTTTCCACTTGGTGTCATGTGGGAGCATAGAGGAGGCACTGGATTGAATGTGAATGGGTCTTGTTCACTCCATACACTTCCTTTAAGGTTTTCCCTTGAAATGAAGGTGGGGATGAAAAGCCCAGCTCTGATTAAATCACAACAGACAGACGGAAAAAATAATTGTGAAAAGTAGTGGAAGTTTGTAACCCTCTTCCCCCACCACATACATGGACGTGCTCCCATTGCTTGTGTGGATGCAATATCAGTATATTTCCTGGGAATAAGGACTATTGTAGAATACTTGAACAATGATGATAAACATGGTGGGTAAAATCCTGGCTTCACTGAAGTCCATGGAAAACTTCCACTGATTTCCCTAAGGCCAGGATTTCACCGAGTAGCTGATGTGTAGCACCGCTCATTCTAATGTGTGTCACAAAGCCCTTCCCAATTGACACCTTTATAGCACTGCTGAAACTTGGCCAACTCTGGAGTGGAGGGACAGCAGCCTGTCATCACACTGCACAGAAGTGGTGGGAGGAGAGGTTTTAGGCCAGAAACAATTGAGCAAGCCTCATATCTTATGGAAATTGCCAAGAGGTCTTCAGTGTAACCGCTGAGCAAACAGGACCCCTGTGTTGTAGGGTCTTAGCTGAAAGATCCACACATAGTAAGCTGTATGGCCCTCAGTTTGTCTGTTTCAGAAGGATGAAAGACTGAGTCAGTCCTTCTGGAACTTGAACCTATGATTCCCATGGGTGTATGTATTTTAAGTCAGAGGTTTGCACCATGAACTACTTCCTCCAGCAAACTTAACTGTAGTTAATAAACGACAGCTACCTGGATAATCGTTAGACATATAGGTATGGCCTCCGCAAGACCACTGACCTCCCTTTGTCTTTGAACAGATATAATTGACTAAAATGTGAAATAAAAAAGTCATTCTCAGTGTAACCTCCTAATTTAAGTATATGCCTTGGTATATTGGTGCATACATCTTTTACAGTAAGAATCTCTTCTAGCTCAAGAGCCAGAGGGAATATTTTGGTTGTCCGTTTGTGTTTAGAATACTCACGTGTGTACATGTACAATGCCTTTTAAAGTATGTCTTGTAAACCATATGGGGAGCCAAACCGAGTAATTTCTTTGAAAGAGACTCAACTCTTGGTGTAACAGGCAAGGGGCTTAATCAGGCTTGCTGGGAAACAACTCTTCACTATAGGCAATGATTGTTAAATCACTCTGCATTATGTGATGGTGTGGCGTATATCTTGAGTCTCCAACTTTTGAAGTACAGAAGAAAAATGGGTTTTGAATTTTCTGAGCTTATGGCCCTTTGAAAGCCTTGTTTGATTTACATTCCAGTAATCCTCCATGTTGACTCAAACACACGTGTGTTGAATACAATACAAATATCTAGCATTTGGATTCAGCTCTTCTTTGGACAATATTTGATTTCTCTGAGGGACTATTCTGATTCCTGTCTGTAATCCCTGGAGTGTTAGAAACAATAGGTTACAATTTTGTAGGGCTCCATTTATTTTCAAGGGAATTAAGAGGAAATTCAAATGATACCTGCTTTTGAAGGATGGGTGTGACATACCTGTGCCTACAGATATAGCAGTGGGCTGCACACATGCACCATTTACTCCTGAGGGAATTCTGCGCCAAAAAAATAAAAATTATGCGCACAATATTTTAAAATTCTTCAAATTTTATTTATCAATAAATGTGGCTCCAGCATGGCAGTGGGAGCACAGGCCACTGGCTGCATTGAGGTGGGAGATCACCCTAACTCCCTCACATCCTCCCGGTACAGGAACTCGGCAGGAAGGCTGCACCCGACCCTGACACAGTGCAAGGGCTGGGCCTACCCCAGAAACACCCGGGGGCCCTGCCTCTGCACCAGGTGTGAGCAGGCAGGCTCAGCTCAGCAGGATCCAAGTGTGGAGGGGCTTAGTGTGGGGTGAGAGGTTTCTGTGTGGGGCAGTCTGGGTGCGGGTGGCTCAGTGGTAGATTTGGATGCACAGGAGTTCGTTGTTGGGTTCCGGGTGCAGGGGCAATAGGACTCTGCAGGGGATCCAGGTGAAGGTGGGGCGGGGTCTGATGGCCACTCACTGCTGTATGTGAAATGGTTTGGTGAGTGGAGAGAAGTCGCAGCGTTCTTCCTAGAGGGCAGGTGTCCACAATACACAAGTTACCATCACATTTGGAACACTAATAGGCAGCCTCATCAGAGGAGTTGCAGATTCAGTGGACATAGAGACTAAACTGCTCTGCCTCCACTAGAAGTTGTCCCTCTACTACAGGGCTTGCAGCACCATGCTGGGCACTAGGGAATGTTTGAGTAGCAGTTACCCACATTTTACCTTTTCTGTGCAGGATCTGGTCTCCTGGGTTGTCATTGTGGCACTTTGTACTAATGTACACCAAAAAGAATATGAAGGGGGAGTGAGAGATGTACAATGGACTCTTTCTCTTAAAGGCAGTAACCAGGCCTAGAGAGAGAATTTGTAACAGCACTGAGTGACCTGCACCCTTGGACTGGCACAGATAGATTGCTCTGCCTTTGAGCTCCTATTTGATCACCGACTGGTTTATTTCCCTCTCTCCCTTCGCACATCTTTTATTGTAGATCAAAAAACAGCAGCAAGATGTGTTAGGCTTCTTGGAAGTCAACAAGATTGAATTTGAAGAAAAAGATATTGCAGCCAATGAGGAGAACCGGAAATGGATGAGAGAGAATGTCCCGGAAGAGAGCCGACCAGTGAGTGGAAACCCATTGCCCCCTCGAATCTTCAATGATAGCCGATATCTTGGGGTAAGAAACCATTTTAAGCTTCTCCTTGGCCTCCTCTTTCTGACTTTCCTAGACTTTATACTGCTGCCAACTACAATATTGCTCTGATGATGGCATATGCCAGATGCAACAGAAAAGGGCATAGGCTATCAATTGTGTGGTGACTGTGAGAGGTGGCTTTTTGTCTATGAAGAGAAAGGGAATTTCCTTGTAACTAAGTCAAAATTTGAACCTAAATCTTCAGTATACTAACTAAGCTTGCATATTAAACTATGTGCCATGTGGCTCTCAAACAGAACATGAAAAACTTCCTGCACTGTGTTGCATGAAATGATTAATAACTGAGGGACTGATGGTTGAGACAGAGCTAGTAATGAAGAGGTGCATGTATCTAGTAACTAACTATTGACATATATATGGCTAACTCTTTTGTAGAAACAACGAGGAGTCCTTGGGGCACCTAAGCCCTGGTCTACACTACAGGGTTAGGTCGAATTTAGCCGCGTTAGGTCAATTTTATAATGAATGAGTCTACACAAGCAACCCCATTCCGTCGACCTAAAGGGCTCTTAAAATCAACTTCTGTACTCCTCCCCGGCAAGGGTAGTAGAGCTAAAATCGACCTTGCTGGGTTGAATTTGGGGTAGTGCGGATGCAAATCTACGGTATGGGCCTCCGGGAGCTATCCCATAGTGCTGCATTGTGACCGCTCTGGACAGCACTTTGAACTCCGATGCACTAGCCAGTACACAGGAAAAGCCCCGGGAACTTTTGAATTTCATTTCCTGCTTGGTCAGCGTGGCGAACTCAGCAGCACAGGTGACCATGCAGTCCCCCCAGAATCGTAGAGTGTAGAATGTTTCTATGCTACCCCTATCATCTCCGTCCCTGAGGTTATCACAGATTAGAAGGCGAAAAAACTGCACTCGCGATGACGTTTTCTGAGTTCATCCAGTCCTCCCGCACTGGTAGGGCACAGCTTAATGCATGGAGTCTCTGTCTGAGGGATTAGAGTAAATGCCCAAATAAATTCATTAGTCTCTAAGGTGCCACAAGGACTCCTCGTTGTTTTTGCTGATACGGACTAACACGGCTACCCCTCTGAAATATTTTTTGTAGAGCTCTCCTATAACATTCATAATAGTATTCAATTATATACAGTGTCACCTTCTTTCCTACAGCACTCCAGAGCCCATGTGTATACCTGCAGGGTCATTTCACAGATGTCCTTTACCAATTAAATGCAGCCACCTTTACATTGCAGAGCTGTAGCTGTCAAATGAAGCATGACAATGTTACACAGTGGTTTAGCACAGGGAATGAAGAAAACTGTGCAACTGTAATGACGGGATGCCTCTCTATCATACGTTTTTCTAGGGCACCCATCACCATAGAATCGGAGTTCCATATACAGTAATAAGGATTAGCACAGAATTATAGAGTAGTTGATAATAGACTGTTCTTTGCTTCTCCCTGGTTTGGTGGCATTTGCTTATATTGTATTTTGTTGTAATTTGTTGGTGTGACGGGTTGGATCACAGAAACCCCCTTGGGGCTGCCAACTGATGTGCGAAGACTACTTCTGCTTCTGCTCCTGCTTTCCTGCCCTGTCAGCTTGAGACTCCAGAGCCCTGCCTGGTTTGAGCCAGACCCACTAGCCTGCTGCAAACCCAGACCCAGGTCTGAACCACATTCCCTAACAGCTGTAGGCTTAATTGAAAACAGCTTAAGAAGTGTTCCTGTCTTTAACACTCAGATGCTGAACTCCCAGTGGGGTCCAAACCCCAAGTAAATCAGTTTTACCCTGTATAAAGCTTTTAAGGGTAAACTCATAAATTGTTCTCCCTCTATCACACTGATAGAGAGGTATGCACAGCTGTTTGCCCCCCCCCTCCCCCCAGGTATTAATACATACCTTGGGTTAATTAATAAGTAAAAAATGATTTTATTAAATACAGAAAGTACGACTTAAGTGGTTCCAAGTAGTAACAGACAGAATAAAGTGAATTACCAAGCAAAATAAAATAAAACACAGTTTTTAAAACACATGAGCCTAATACAGTAAGAAAACTGAATACAGATAAAACCTCACCCTCAGTGGTGTTCCAGTAAGCTTCCTTTTACAGACTAGTCTCCTTCTAGTCTGGGTCCAGCAATCACTCATATCCCCTGTAGTTACTGTCCTTTGTTCTAGTTTCTTTAAGGTAGCCTCTCCACTCCCCATCTTTTGAGCCAGCTGAAGACAAAATGGAGGGGTCTCCCAGGGGTTTAAATAGACTTTCTCTTGTGGGTGGATACCCCCTCTTCTCTCCTATGCAAAGTCCAGCTCCAAGATGGAGTTTTGGAGTCACATGGGTAAGTCACATGTCCATGCATGACTCAGAACTTACAGGTTCAAATGCTGCCTTGAACGTCATCAAGTAGACTTCTTATGTGGATTGGAGCCTTCCAAGATCCCTTAAGTGCTTCTTGATTGGGCACTTAACTTGCACATTTCTTTCTTAAGAAGCTGACCAAATGCTTTGCTAAGGCTACTTAGAAATCAAGCAAGTACACAGCCAATATTCATAACTTCGAACACAAAAATGAGACATGCATACAAATAGGATGAATAGATTCAATAGATCATAACCTTTACGTAGATATGTTACATGGTATATGTAGCATAAAACATATTCCTATTATGTCATATATACATTCATAAGCATATTTCCATAAAGTCTTATGGGGTGCAATGTCACAGTTGGGTACTGAGCAAAGGTTTTTTCAGGACACTGAGTCTGTCAGTGTCCTCTGCAAATGACCAGCTGAGCGTTCTGTTCTCTCTCTTCTGGTAAGTTGCCCATAGTTGAGCTTTGGATCTGCCACAGGAGCACAGCCATGCTGAGTCCAGTTTGGTCTTTAGCTGCCAGAACCTTGGAGAGAAGGACTGAAGAAAAGTGTGCTATATGTAGCTTGAAGAGAGCAAGAGTGAGCCTGAAACAACAAGGGAGAAGGCGTTACTGGCAACTACATGGATTGCTCTAGAAAAAATATTAAGTAAAAAACAAAACCCCAAGAGAATAGGAGGAGATTCCCCTCCAGGCTAGAATGAAATTAAAGCCCTCAGCCATCTCTTCCTTAACCTTTTAATTGCTAGTCCTCCTGAATAACTGGTGGCCTGGATCCTAAAACCTCAGGGATATCACAACATGAGTTTTTCCTCTTTCATCACTTCTGTGGCAGGCAATGGAAATACTACATTAGAGGGACTCTCTGGCTGGGAGCGCCCAAACTGACAGGGGTGTGTGTGCTACATTGAAGTTGTACAGTGTTTGATACATGGAAGGGCCCTGACACTTGAGGCTCTCAAGTTTTGTAATGCAATGAGAAGTCTGGGAACTATGGACCTGCTCCTTCAAGGTGCTGAGCTCTCCTGGAACTGTTGAGTGCCCTCAGCTCCCACTGAGCGAGATGAGTTCACTTGGCACCTTACAGTATAGGCCCCTATGTTCTCCAGGAGAAATGATTTCAAATATCATTGAGTATAGGACTAAGCTGAAGATCCCAGAGACTGCTCCTCCTTACAAGGAGATTTTTAAAGCTTTGTAGCACAGCCGTGCAAAGCAGTTATGTGTATGTGTCCTTCTTCTTAGTTCATTACTAATTAGATTTTAGAGGCACCTGCTGATGTAGCGTTCGGTGTATGTGAATGCAGCAGATCAAGAAGAAAGTGGTATGTTATCCAGAGAGGCTTTGGCATTGCTGCATTCCTCAGTAGTCCTATATTTAGGGACATAGGACTGGAAGGGACTGCGTGGGTCATCACTTCCCATCCCGCTCCTATCGCAGGCAACACAGTCGTATAAACACCTTCATAAATGTATCAAGCTCCATCTTAAAACTAGGTTGATTCTTTATCCTCACTATTCTCTTTGGGAGGCTGTTCCAGAACCTCACTCCTCTGATGGTTAGAAACCTTTTTCTAAAGTCCAGCCTAAATTTATTCATGGTCAGTTTATACTCATTTGTTCTCATGCCAATGTTGTCCTTTAGCTTAAATAAGCTCCTCTTCTTCCCTAGTGTTTACCCCCCTGATGTATTTATAGAGAACCGTTGTATTCTCTCTCAGCCTTCATTTTGCTGGGTCAAACAAGTCAAGCTCTCCATTCCCCTGATCATCCTAGTAGCTTTCTTTGACCCTGTTCTACTTTGAATTCATCTTTCTTGAACATGGGTGACCAGAATTGTAGATAGTTTTCCAGATGAGGGCTTACCAGTGACCTGTGCAATGGCATTAATTCTTGCCTATCACTACTGAAAATAGCTTGCCTGGTACATCCTAGGATTGCATCACACTGCTTGTTCATAGTCATTCTGTGGTCAACTAATATACCCAGGTCTTTCTCCTACTCTATCATTTCCAACTGATGAGCACCCAGCTTATATTAGAAGTTCTTATTAGTCCCTAAGTGCATGGCCTTGTACTTTGTACTATTAAATTTCATCCTATTTCTGTTACTCCAGCGCTCAAAGGTCTTCCTGTATAATATTCCAATCCTCCTCTGTGTTGACAACACCTCCCAACTTTTTGTCATCTGCAGATTTCATTAGCACACGTTTACTTTTTGTGCCATGATCATTCCTGAAAATATTAAATAAGATCAGTCTCAAGACTGATCCTTGAGGAACCCCAGTAGTACTACCTCCAGCCCGATAGTTCTCTCTTCAACACAACCCATTTTTGTTTCCCATTTACCCAATTACTTACTTGACAATTCTTGTACTAATCCCCAGCTTCACTAATGATTTCCCATATTAAATGCTTTACTGAAGTCCAGATAAATGAGATCTGCTGCATTTCTCTTATCTAAATGATTTAATGGATCAAGTGGCAGAGAGGCAGATTTTCCTAACCATCATACAGGAGATTTTTGGTACTCTAATCTATTGGTCTAGAGTATGGTTCCCATAGGTTCTAATCCTGCCAGGTGATGAGATCCCCAACTTCCATTGACGTTAATGGGAGATGAAGCTACTTGCTCAGGCCCTAATAGGCTAAGATAGATGTCATTTCTTTTTATGTGTAAAGAATCATCAGCTGGAGGAGGAATGCCAAGAGAGCAGCACTCTTTGCTGCAAAAATTCTCATGAGTGATGATTCAACTTGGCAGTTATTAAGAAAGATGCCATCAGCTTGGAAAGCTGGATCCAAATCACAGGAATTCAGCTTGCAGGAACTTAAATTATACATGGACCCCCACCTTTCTATTTTTATCAGTTCCACTGTAAACATGAATTGGTACCTGCTTGTTTTACCTGGGGATGCATGTTCTGTGTGTACACGTGCAACATGCACAGCAGAGAGAATCATAGAATATCAGGGTTGGAAGGGACCTCAGGAGGTCATCTAGTCCAACCCCCTGCTCAAAGCAGGACCAATCCCCAACTAAATCATCCCAGCCAGGACTTTGTCAAGCCTGACCTAATTATTTTTGTTGCCCTCCGCTGTACTCTTTCCAATTTTTCCACATCCTTCTTGTAGTGTGGGGCCCAAAACTGGACACACTACTCCAGATGAGGCCTCACCAATGTCGAATAGAGGGGAATGATCATGTCCCTCAATCTGCTGGCAATGCTCCTACTTATACAGCCCAAAATTCTATTAGCCTTCAAGGGCACATTGTCAACTCGTATCCAGCTTCTCGTCCACTGTAACCCCTAGGTCCTTTTCTGCAGAACTGCTACCTAGCCATTCGGTCCCTAGTCTGTAGCAGTGCATGGGCTTCTTCCGTCCTAACTGCAGGACTCTGCACTTGTCCTTGTTGAACCTAAACAGATTTCTTTTGGCCCAATCCTCTAATTTGTCTAGGTCCCTCTGTATGCTATCTTTACCCTCCAGCATATCTACCACTCCTCCCAGTATATAGTGTCATCTGCAAACTTGCTGAGGGTGCAATCCATGCCATCCTCCAGATCATTAATGAAGATATTGAACAAAACCGGCCCCAGGACCGACCCTTGGGGCACTCCGCTTGATACCGGCTGCCAACTAGACATGGAGCCATTGATCACTACCCGTTGAGCCTGACGATCTAGCCAGATTTCTATTCACCTTATGGTCCATTCATCAGCCCATACTACTGGCAAGAATACTGTGAGAGACCATATCAAAAGCTTTGCTAAAGTCAAGGAATAACACATCCTCTGCTTTGCCTCATCCACAGAGCCATTATCTTGTCATAGAAGGCAATTAGGTTAGTCAGGCATGACATGCCCTTGGTGAATCCATGCTAACTGTTCCTGATCACTTTCCTCTCCTCTGAGTGCTTCAGAATTGATTCCTTGAGGACCTGCTCCATGATTTTTCCAGGGACTAAGATGAGGCTGACTGGCCTGTAGTTCCCCGGATCCTCCTCCTTCCCTTTTTTAAAGATGGGCACTCTGTTAGCCTTTTTCTAGTCATCCGGGACCTCCCCGGATCACCATGAATTTTCAAAGATAATGGCCAATGGCTCTGCAATCACATCCGCCAACTCCTTTAGCACCCTCGGATGCAGTGCATCCGGCCCCATGGACTTGTGCTCGTCCAGCTTTTCTAAATAGTCCCGAACCACTTCTTTCTCCACAGGAGGTCACTTCCTCCCCATGCTGTGCTGCCCAGTGCAGTAGTCTGGGAGCTGACCTTGTTTGTGAAGACAAAGGCAAAAAAAGCATCGAGACACATCTTCTGTCACTAGGTTGCCTCCCTGGTTCAGTAAGAGGCCCACACTTTTTCCTTGACTTTCTTCTTGTTGCTAACATACCTGAAGAAACCCTTCTTGTTACTCTTAACATCCCTTGCTAGCTACAACTCCAAATGCGATATGGCCTTCCTGATTTCACTCCTGCCTGCCTGAACAATATTTTTATACACCTCTCTGGTCATTTGTCCAATCTTCCACTTCTTGTAAGCTGCTTTTTTGTGTTTAAGATCAGCAAGGATTTCACTGTTTAGTAAATATGGCAGACAACCAGCTTGGCTATTCTTACTACACATCGGGATGGTTTGTTCCTGCAACCTCAATAAGGATTCTTTAAAATACAGCCAGCTCTCCTGGACTCCTTTCCCCCTCATATTGTTCTCCCAGGGGAGTCTGCTCATCAGTTCCCTGAGGGAGTCAAAGTCTGCTTTTCTGAAGTCTAGGGTCCGTATTCTGCTGCTCTCCTTTCTTCCTTGTGTCAGGATCCTGAACTCAACCATCTCATAGTCACTGCCTCCCAGGTTCCCATCCACTTTTGCTTCCCCTACTAATTCTTCCCGGTTTGTAAGCAGCAGGTCAGGAAGAGCTCTGCCCCTAGTTGGTTCCTCCAGCACTTGCACCAGGAAATTGTCCCCTACACTTTCCAAAAACTTCCTGGATTGTCTGTGCACCGCTGTATTGCTCTCCCAGCAGATATCAGGGTGACTGAAGTCTCCCATGAGAACCAGGGCTTGTGATCTAGTAACTTCTGTTAGTTGCCAGAAGAAAGCCTCGTCCACCTCATTCCCCCCTGGTCTGGTGGTCTATAGCAGACTCCCACCACGACATCACCCTTGTTCACACTTCTAAACTGCGATTATAAACTCTATGCATCAATAACTTGCCATGCAAGGGTCACCCTCTTCTGTAGCTGACAGGGTTGCTTTCCTAGTAGTTGTGCTAGGAATCAGGTTGCTGGACCATGCAGAAGCAGGATAGTCAAAACACTTGTTATCAAATGACTCCAGCGTGTATTAGCCTAAGGGCTTCAGGGAGGATTTAACAAATCTGTACACATTATTTAAAAAACTAAAACCTGAAAGTTACATTTTCAAATTTAAGAACAATCGAACATCTCCGATCTCCAGTTCACACAAACTGGCAGTTCCTTGTTTTGCCCTCTCTTCCCAACTGCCACAGAGCCTCACGGGATATTGCTCCTGCCCACAGCATTCCCCTGCAGATTCCAGTCTACAGCATTCTGATTGAGCTCATTTCTCATGCTTCTGCCTGTAGATGGAGGGGCGTGTGAAACAGCCTGCCCTCAATGGCAGCTCCCTCACTAACTTCAACCCACAACTCAGCATTCTCCATATTACTGGCATTCCACAGCTAGATGGTTCGCCAGGATTCTTGCATCAAAAGCATGCCCATCAGACGCAGAGAAAACCAGTGTTACAGCTTCAGTGAAAAGGGGGAGAAAGGGTAGGAAAAAAGCCTACATTAGGTCTGTAATGTGACTTTGGAAATCGGAGCTAGGGATGTGTGTGGTAATCGAAATGACGGGTGGCTTATGCAAGCCTTCTAAGCGTGATTAGCCAGTGTTTCGCAACTGTTTGTCAAAACCAGTTTCATTGTGTAGCTCTTTCCACACTTATCAGAGCCATGAGCATAGTCTCTGTGCTCAGGGCAGACTTGCATTCTCTGTGTTAGAAAACATACAGAAAGCAGGGTGTGTGTGGTGGTGGTTTCTCCCTCATTCTCCACCTCCCCTTTCCTCCCGAGAAGTGGCTGTGTATGTTAGTGCTGCAGTTCTGTAACTTTAATTGAGCACCAAACATTATGAAGCAGAGACCTCTAGTGTTTACTGGGCTAGTGCATTAACTGAGCTTACCTCAAAGCAGTGTGTAAAGGCAGATGTTGGCCTTTAGAGTGAGGAAAACCACTTGCTTTTGTGCATTCACATACACAAAAGTATTGAAAACAATGCCAGTGTAATAGCAAGGCTGTGACTTGAGGATTAGTAACATGAAGAAGTGTAGCTTTTCATTTTCAGATAATAGGTTTGAATCTGACTCAGATTAGTAGCAACACTTTGACATCTCCCCTGATGAAACAAGTTAGGGGGCTCAGCTCTGTCCTTGTGGAGAGGCGTCCATGCCACAGCATTTGCTGCCTCCATCTGGCGCAATTACCAGCAATAACAGCAGAGACCAAGGACTGAATTTCCATGAATGTGGTGCTTCCCAGCAGGGCCGGCTCCAGGCACCAGCTTACCAAGCAGGTGCTTGGGGCCACCACTTCGGAGAGGGGCGGCACATCCAGCTGTTCAGCGGCAATTTGGCGGAGGGTCCCTCACTCCTGCTCAGAGCGAAGGACCTCCCGCCGAATTGCCGCCGCAGATCGCGATCGCGGCTTTTTTGTTTGTTTGTTTTTGTTTGGCTGCTTGGGGCGGCCAAAACCCTGGAGCCGGCCCTGCTTCCCAGTCAAAGTCGAGGCATACTGGTGAAGCTGTCACTGCTTGTGGTTTACCTGTTGCCATCCTGGCCCCTTTCTCAAGTACTAAATTTTAAATTTACGGATACCAGAATTAGTGCTAGAAATATGAATTGACCTCTGAATTGTGCTTTAGGCCACATAAGTCCTGAAAAGTTTTAGTTTGCTCAGTGTGGGCTTCGGGAGAGGTGTATTGAACTAATACTTTATTATTTTTGGATGGCTCATAATCTCTCTCTCTCTCTCTCTCTCTCTCTTCCCCCCTCCATGAAGGATTATGAAGCTTTCTTCGAAGCTAGAGAGAATAATGCAGTGTATGCTTTTTTAGGCTTGACTGCTCCTCCTGGTTCAAAGGTAGGTGGTATTCTGTATTGTTTCAGACTAACGTATACAACTTGTATTTACACTCTTGTAACAGGGTGGCTGACCCTGTTTATAGGCTAGAGGCCCCGGGGCGGGGCGGGGGCAGCAAATCCTAGTTACTAGGGCTGTCGATTAATCACAGTTAACTCACGCAATTAACTCAAAGAAATTAATCACAATTAAAAAAATTAATCATGATTAATCACAGTTTAATCGCGCTGTTAAACAATAAAATCACAGTTTTAATATTTAAATATTTTGGGATTTTTTTGGATGTTTGGATGTTTTTTATGTTTTCAAATATATTGACTTCAATTACAACACAAAATACAAAATGTACAGTGCTCACTGTATATTATTTTTATTACAAATATTTGCACTGTAAAAATGATAAACAAAAGAAATAGTATTTTTCAATTCACCTCATATTTTTCAATTCACCTCACTATAGTGCCATCGCTTTTATCGTGAAAGTGCAATTTACAAATGTAGATTATTTTTTGTTATATAATTGCATTCAAAAACAAAACAATGTAAAACTTTTAGACCCTAGAAGTCCACTCAGTCCTACTTCTTGTTCAGCCAACGGCCAAAACAAACAAGTTTGTTTACGTTTATGGGAGATAATGCTTCCCTCTTCTTATTTACAATGTCACCAATAAGTGAGAACAGGTATTTGCATGGGACTTTTGTAGTCGGCATTGCAAGGTATTTACGTGCCAGATATGCTAAACATTCATATGCCCCTTCATGCTTCGGCCACCATTCCAGAGGACGTGCTTCCATGCTGATGACGCTCGTTAAAAAAAGAATGCGTTAATTACATTTGTGACTGAACTCCTTGGGGGAGAATTCTGTGTCACCTTGTGGCGGGGTGATGACTCACCGGCACGGCGCTTCCTGCTGGTCGTCTAGGGAATTAGCTCTTCCCAGCCCGGAGCGCCCTCTGCAGGCCAGTGTCCCGCCTGCCGCTGGCCCCATGTCCCTCCCAGACCCCAGTGCCCCTCTGTCAGGGTCCTGCCCCCAGCAGTAACCCGCAATTTGGGTCTCCCCACCCCGGGGAACCCCCAACTTCCTATCCCCATCTTGCCTCAGTGGCTACTGCCAGTCATCATCTAGCCCCCGCTCCCTGGGGCAGACTGCAGTCTGTAAACCACTCATCATTGCCAAGGGGGGTTGGACCAGCTGCCTCTGTCTATATCTGGACTGCCCCTCTGCAGCCCCAGTACCTTTGTGGGCCCTTAACTCGGCCTGCAGCCTGGGGCTTTGCTAGGCTGGAGCTCCCCAGCTCCCTCTGCCCTTCCCCAGCACTGCTCCACCCTAGGTAACCACCTCAGCTTCCCAGGCAGCCAGGTCCTTCTCTCACTGAAGCTAGAGAGAGAGAGTGTCTTTTTCTGGCCCACAGCCCTCTTATAAGGGCCAGCTGGGCCCTGATTGCACTGGCTATAGCTATGGCTGCTTTCCCAATCAGCCTAGCTTCTCCGCCACAGCCCTCTCCATGGCTGCTTTAACCCCTTCAGGGCCGGAACGGGGTGACAACCCCGCTACACCCCTGCTCTGTTTTACCCACATTCTGCCATATATTTCATGTTATAGCAGTCTCGGGTGATGACCCAGCACGTTTGTTTTAAGAACACTTCCACTGTAGATTTGACAAAAGAAGGTACTAATGTGAGACTTCTAATGATAGATACAGCATTTGACCCAAGGTTTAAGAATCTGAAGTACCTTCCAAAATCTGAGAGGGACGAATTGTGTAGCATGCTTTTAGATGTCTTAAAAGAGCAACATTCTGATGCGGAAACTACAGAACCTGAACCACCAAAAAAGAAAATCAATCTTTTGCTGGTGGCATCTGACTCAGATGATGAAAATGAACATGCATTGGTCTGCCTTGTTTTGAATCGTTATCGAGCAGAACCCATTATAGCATGGATGCGTGTCCTCTGGAAAGGTGGTTGAAGCATGAAGGGACGTCTGAATCTTTAGCGCATCTGGCATTAGGGTGACCAGACGTCCCGATTTTATCGGGACTGTCCCGATATTTACTTGTTTGTCCCGTGTCCCGACCAATGTTTGGTCGAGATACTGGACAAAGAAGCAATTTTTGCCCTCCGCTCCGGCTCGCGCCCCACCTCCCGCCCCAACTCCTCTCCCTCCTTCCCCCATTGGATAGCTCCCCAAATCCCCACCCTGGCCCCGCCTCTTCCCCACGCACGCCGCTTGCGCGCCGATCAGCTGTATGGCGGCGGCGCAAGGGCTGGAGGGAGGCCAGACACCAGCGTGTGTGGCGCAGCCGCCATGAAGATTAAGAAGGTGGTGCGGTGCAGCAGCTGCGCATGGAGGCCAGTGGAGGAGGGATGTGTGGAGGGGGGATGGAGGGAGGAGGGTCGGGCAGTCCTCGCTCCGAGTCCTCGCCACTCTCTTGGTGCGGCGGCTGTGGGGGGTCCGGGGTGCGGGCGCTGTAACCCGAAACCTCCTGCCCATGAGTGGAGCGGAGGCGGCGGGGGAAGAAGGAAGTGGCTCGGCAGTTCCACACACACCAAGGGGGGAGCGCTCCGGTTTGTTCACTGGAGCTTATGGCAGCTACAGGGTGGGGAGGGGGGGGTCTGTGCCTCCTTTGCGGGGCTCTCCCGTCCCCAGGTGGGTTCTCGCTGCCCCATGCTCCTGCGGCCTTCACGGCCCCAGCCCCCGGGACTTTGCCTCCTGCACCAGCCTTTGTGTGCGGAGGAGGGACAAGCCCGTGCCGGGAGGGAGGCTGGCTTTTAGGGCAGAGAAGCAGCCGAGCGCTGCATCTCTGATTGCAGAGCCGGGGGCCCAGCCAGCGGCTGCAGAGGGTTGCGGCGGGGGGGCGTGCTCTGGCAGCTTTTTTTTTTTTTTTTTTGCTCCGCCCCCTGGCATCCCGATATTTCATCTTTGGCATCTGGTCACCCTATCTGGCATGTAAATATCTTCTGACGCTGGCTATGACCGTGCCATGCGAACGTCTGTTCTCACTTTCAGGTGACGTAAACAAGAAGGGGGCAGGATTATCTCCTTAAATGTAAACAAACTTGTTTGTCTGAGCGATTGACTGAACAAGAAGTAGGACTGAGTGGACTTGTAGGCTCTAAAGTTTTACATTTTTACTTTTGAATGCAGGTTTTTTGTACCTAATTCTACATTTTTAAGTTCAACTTTCATGATAAAGAGATTTGACTACAGTACTTGTAATGGGGGAATTGAAAAATACTATTTTGTTTTTTGTTTTTTTTACATTGCAATTATTTGTAATAAAAAATAAATAGAAAGTGAGCACTGTACATTTTGTATTCTGTTGTAAGTGAAATCAATATATTTGAAAATGTAGAAAACATCCAAAAATATTTAATTAAATGGTGGTATTATTGTTTAACAGCATGATTAGTCATTTATTTGCACAATTAATCGTGATTAATTTTTTTAATCACTTGACAGCCCTACTAATTACTAAATAGGCATACTTCAGAAGGGATGAGATGATTCCCTTGTAAAGTGCAGCAGGAAGCTGCAGGGAGTGGGGAGTGTTTGAGGAGGCAGAACTGAAGAAAGCTATGGCAGAGGAAATGCAATGAGCTAGAAGCTCTTGCAGGAAACCCTTTGCTAGTGGGGAAAAGTTTGGGCCTGGAAGTCAGAGGGCTAGGGAGAGCAGACTCTAGAGAAGTATGGGGAGTTGCCCCAGCAATGAAGGACTGGGCGTGGCTTGCTAAAGCAGGAAAGTTCCTGAGACACCTGGGGAGTTTTGAGACAGTACCTAAGAGAGGAGGTGCTGTACTTAGTTTAAGGCTATGGATAGACTTTTTGTATCCGTTTATTTTGAATGTCATGCCCATGAAACCAGACCCTAAGGAGGGGTATTTCTGAACAGACAGAATCCTTTTGTGAGTCATTGAGGGGAAACTGAGGCAGACTACCTGTAGTGTGTAGCAACCTACAGGTCACAAAGGGGTGCTTGCGAAGCAGCAAGCCTGTTCATAGCTCTCTTGTCCTTGTCCAGTCACAACAGGTAATATCATGTTTTGTGTTGTGGTTGCTGTGTGTATGTATTCCAGTGGATCTGACATTCACTTTCTAAAGAGTTTTGCTTTGAGCATGGGCGTTACTGCTCCATTTATTTGGAGGATGCAGCATTCACCAAAAGGCTTGTCTCCTCTCCCCCCCCCCCCCCCCCACCTCTACCTTGAGACCAGGATGATTCAGTGTGCAGACTTGTTACTGTAATAGTTGACATTGGTTTTGTAACTTCACGGTGGCCCCAATCCTGATTCCATTTAAGTTAATGGCAAAGCCCGTGTTCACTGAAATAGGAGCTAGATCAGGCCCTGCATTAGTATTTGATGTCTCTTGACTTTGGACAGTGTCTTCTGTACAGACCCATAGGCAGACACAATCCCTGCTCAGAGGAACTTCCATTCTAGTACATTTCACTAGAAATCCTGGGAAAAAGAAATTGAAAGAGAGGCCCCCCCCCCAAAAAAAAGAAAGAAAGAAAAATTCAAATAAACAAGACACTAAGATTTTGCAATGGAACATGTCTTGAATATGCTGCTCAGGTTTTTTGCAACCGATTTGCCATAGATAGATCAATCTTAGAATGTTCTTTTCTTCCACACCCTCCATTACCTGAAGCTGTGTCTTTTCTGTACCATTTATAAAGTGGGTTGCTGTAATACAGATCCACCAAACTGAATTCTTCCCTTGATTTTGATGCGATAGGACATGAATGCTTTATGCATTTTACTGGAGGTCATTAGGATCCCTGAGTCACTGTTAAGGTTTTCAGTACCAGCCCTTTTGTTCACATGGATAAACTTTATTTATTTAAGAATTAGGAGGCGACTTGAAACGCTCCATTCTGCATACATTTCATCCAGACACCTGAGCTAAGATAGTCTGTGAACAGTTAGTATTAACAGGTGCAGTTGCAGGTCAGGTTAAGGCTCAAATTCTGGGGGCCAGATTAATCTCCTGAGGTTACTCCATTGATATCAGTGGAGTTACACTAGTGATGAATATGGCCCATTCTTTCTGTGTCTCAGATCTACAAAGTTCCAGAGTAACAAAAGACAGTGGTACATGCCCATATTAATGTTTAATGGGGTCAAAAGGCCAATTGCACACAATGCAATACTTATTTAAATTCCTTAGGGATATTTTAAATGCACCCATGTCAGGTTTTGGGAGCATCTGCAGAATATTGAACAGAATCTGTACAAATTGGACAAATGCACAAAAACTAGCCCCAATCACTCATACCTGCAATCACTTTTTGCTCATGCAAAAAAATCTCTGGGGGCAAATCCTAGACTCCAGCCTTCCAGGCATTGAGGTCCCTGCGTGCAGTGCAACCATTTCTACCACGTAGGAGGGCCCGATTTATAGAGCAAAGACTTTGGCTTTGTGAGCGATGTCATTCACAGAGCTTTTGGGAGCAGGCCAGACCAGGAGCTGCTGCAGTAGGAGCTGTGGAGCAGCCCCACAGCTGTGGCAAGAGAATTCCTACCCACCCACATACACACCATGTGCTCAGGATTCTCTCCGCACACAGCCTGCCTCCTTGGGCTCCGCACTCGATGTTCCCCCAAAGGAGTTCAGTCAGACTGAAAGACAAAAACATGCTGGGTCAGATTCTGTTCTGTTCTAGCCATGCAGCCCCACTGAAGTCAGTGGATTGTATATCTATCAATAGAAGCAGATTGCTCAATCTGAGTCTGATCCTGGAAAGTGCTGAGCATGCTCCCCTCCCACTGAAGTCAATGGGGTTCAGTGGGACTGGTGGGCACTGAGAGGGCTGGATCCTGTAAGGGGCTATCACTGATGTCCCATGTAGAAACATCACAGCTGACATAACCAACTTGATTAATTCTTTGACCGACACTTAATAACGGCAGTGAAGGAAAACACACTCTCCTGGTGGGCGTGGCCATTTGTCAGCCTGATTAAGGGTGACTGGAAGGAAAAGAGCATTGTAAAAAAGAGAAACAGGTGCAGTAGCATTATTTATTTAATCCCTATATTGCCTTCTAAGTTTTAGGGGACCATTTAGTAAATGGGAGATAACCCTATACTATGTGACTTGTACCCACAGAGATCTATTACTTTTGCTATCAGCCTAACTTCTGGCAAGTGTGCTCCCACTAAATGCTAGCAGATCAAACTGATTGGCTGTTAGTTAAAATGAGAAATTTACCTTAAAATGTTTGGATATCAGTGTATGGCAGATAAGGAAAACATCCTTGCAGCTGGAGGGACCATGCTTGGCTACATTATATAATAGCTATCTACATAATCCCTTTGAACAGTGTTATGTAAAATGGAAGGAGGTATCAGAGCAGCTGCATACCACACATCTGGGAGAGAGGAGTTTTGACAGCACGCCCTCTGTTCCATGAGAGGTTCAGAGAATTTGTTTGACAGCAGTACAGAGTGTTATGTAAAGTGAATAGCATTAGGAGCCAAGCCTCTACAACATTATTAGAGATACAAATAGCTATTTATTGAGCATCAATGGTTTGTTCAATGCTCTGCACACTTAGGGGGGAAATACATGATCCTATAGATAACACTGGAATAAAGTAAATACAGACAGCTTGATACATTAATTGTCCAGGCTTCAAGGGATGCTGGTCTCTTCCATGCATGCATGGCTTGAGGAGTTAAAGCTTATAACTCATTGTTTGTTAAGGGCTGACAGTGTGCTCAGTGAAAGGTGTCCTGGGAGAAATTAGCTTTAAGGAAGGATTTGAAAGGGGAGAGTAGCAAGGGGCCCGATCCTCTGGAGATCTGAGCCCTTCGTAAATATCTTGCAGCATTGGGTCTGAGAAAGGAGAGGAAGTTGATTGACCTTTGTGAGAAATAGGGCAATGTGTTTACTATGGAGTGCACTTTGTGATGGGAGGGATGTTCTGAGCTCCCTGCTCCCAAAGGCCTGGACTGTGGTGCCTTTCCCTCAGGCATAGCGGGCTGGCATCTGGCCAGAGGGAGCTGCTAGAAGCTGACAAGAAGCACAACACCTTTCATCTGTTCCATGCTGCCGTGTGCGATACTACTACTCTCTGGAAAACATAGGGCATCTTTTTCCTCCCCTGTCCTATTGCCCCTCTTTCCTCTCTGCTCCTTTCCCACCCTCCTTCTCTGCCACCTCCCCATTGAATAAACTTTGTGTGGATGCCTCCCATACCACCAGGTGATTGATGCTCTGCCATCAGAGCAGAGTACAGATTACAGGGAGTATAGGAGACCTGAATCAGTGGTGCAGAGCTACCCGCTGTTCCCACGCTCTTGAATTTAAAGGGAGTAAGATATGATACACAGGCAAATGGCCAAAAAACAACAACAACCAGAATCACCCACCAATTCTAAGATAACGGAAATATGCAGGGCACGTACTCCCCTTTGGCTGAGGTCATTCACGGTGCCTCTTCTCTTCTCCTTCACGTGAGGAATTTTGTAAAAATTTTGCATAGATTTCCCTTTTCTGAGTATCGATTTACTTATATTGCATATTTGTAAAACAGACATAACTGTTCATGCTCATGATGTAGTGCCAGAGTTTCAAAAGAGCTCTGCTCCCATTTAAGCACCAAAATAAATGGCCAGATTTTCAAAAAAGCTCAGCACATTGTGTGATGGTCTCTTTTTGAAATTCTGCCCATAAGTCCCACAGTGGAAGATCCTGAGTGCTGAGCTCTTGGCAATCTGGCCCTTAGTGTGAAGACACTTACAGTGGATCTAGTTGGCATTAAAATCTAATTAAATTTAATCTTCATTTTTATTAAGAAATAAGGAGGACAATAGCAAAAGTGATTTTGAGAAAAGTAAGTCTCTCCTTTTGCTTTCCCTCCATTTTGTCAATCTATTCCCTTTCCTTCTGAAAACTGAAGACCAGAAGGTGTGGGGTATTTTTTTTTTTTAACCATCTCTTCTGAAAATTCTCATTACTAAGCAATTCTAGAGCTTAGTTGACATGTCTGTTACATTGTTTCTGTTATGACAAAGTTAATTAGCCACTTCTCACTGCATCATAGTATTAATTTAGATGGTAGATTAAATCTCTCCAAGAACCTGTTTTATATTTCCATAGTGAAATTGCTTCATGCTTTTTTATACAAAGTTCCCCCCTCCCCCCATCTTACCTAGCAGTCATGCTTCAAAAAGTCTGTCATTCTCTAGGCTTTAACAATGTTTTAATCATTTTTTTGTAGCCTAACATGAATAATGAAAGAAAATATTAAATCTGATCGTTTACTTTTAACACACTGTTTGGATAGCAAACATGAACTATCATGGTCTGGAAAACCTAGCAGCTAGTGGTGAGAACATGCATTCTTTGGTTACACCTGCAACTCCCATTTGAATTCAGTGGCAGTTGAGGATACTTAGCACTTTAGGGGAGTGGGCCCTTATCAATGTATGGCAGGACCTTGCCCCAGAGAAGTAAATGGGAGATCTTCATTTGACTTGAAGGCTCAGGGCGACTTGCTTTTTTGGCTATGTATCACTGGAATTTTTTTATCATGTGGTACAGATGTCCACTCGTAACAAAAAATATACAGATTGTTACCTTTGATAAAGTACTTATTAATCCTTATTTTATTATTTCAGGAAGCTGAAGCACTGGCGAAGCAGCAAGCATGAATTTCAACTGCCTTAAATGTTCTGTAAAGGGAACTTCCACAGCTTTTTATAAAATAGAAAATTGTCTCTGCTTCAAGAAAAATAGATTTAATTTCTAACGTTTTGATTGGTGCTTGCAGCATCCACGGTACATGAATATAAATTTGAACACGGTGAATATGGGAACATTAGGGTAGAGAGCATGGAAGACACTATTGCAAAGTTGGAAGCATAGGTAACTGAATCAATTAGAAATGATTGATTTAAAGTGGTTTAAACTATGTCTGGGCAATTGCGTCCATTTTTGTAAACTTAAAGAAAACCTATTTTAGTACTAATTATGCAGATAAACTTACACCTAGAGATCCAGCTATTTAAACATAGGAGAAAACGAGCAACAACATAAAACCTTATCAAATAACTCTAGTGCCTGAATTGCCTCAAATGTTATTGAACATTACAAAAGTACAGTAACTTCTCAATGTCTTTTTAAATTGTGGCTTAAAATGAAATTCTAAGTGTTGTGTAGCGTAGTAACCATTGTAATCGCGTATGGAAATTGACATTTGTTCTTTTGTAGAATGAAGATTTAAAATTGTATTGTAACACATTGTACAGATCTTTAAAAAAAAATTTGCCATGTATTTCTCATTTAAGCGACCAATGTGGGCCTTTTCCACAAAAAAGAGATTGAGCAGTGGATAACATTTCCATTGGCACGTTCACCACATAGCTCTCTAACCATGACTTGATTACATGTTTGTGTGCTAGATTTAGTGCACTTCAATGAAATACAGTATGGACTAATTCCTAGGCAGTATCACAAATAAGCCAAAATGGCCAGAAATGGCATTTCCTTACATGTGTAAGAGCTAAAGCCTTTAATGTAATATTCTACAAGGTCACGTTGTTTATAGTTTTAGGCATTTGGTTGCATGTTCTAGAGGTTACTAGTTGAATATAGTAGTTTTTCATATGGGGATCTAAAAGTAAATGTTTGAATTGTAACAAGTATTGTAATTGAGTGTGGGGGGTTTCTTTCAAGTTTTAAAAGTTGATTTGTATTGCCATGGAATTAGTGAATCCTATTAAAGAACAGCATTCTGTATCAGTGAATTCACCAAGTGCAATATTAACCCATTCCATGCCTTAGGTATACATCAGTTATTTGGCAAAGGGGAATTCACATAGCCTGCATATTATGGCCATCCACTGGAAAATCATGAAGACTGATTTAAAATCCTAATCATAGGTGCACCTGATGTGGTAAGGAGTAGTTTTAAAATTTACATGTGTGATTTTTAAATATCTTGCACAGTATAAACCACTCTTGCTTCCTGAATGCATCGACACCATAAAACCTGTAGTTGCGGGGGCATTCTACAAGCACAGCACACAAATTTTATTTTCATCTGCTTTATAACAACATAGAAACAGGTGGTATAGATCAGCAAAAGACTTATAAAGGTTTTATGCCGCTTGCAAACTGTAGCATATCATGGCCATGCAGTTACTTATATTGATGCAATAAAAGTTATGTAGTGCTTTAAAATGCTTCCTGAGACATTTATAATTCTAAGATCCAAAATTAGTGACAGGATAGAAGTAAAGACTTAATTATACTCTACAACAGAATAATTAAATATTTTCCTCTTGCCAACATATTTCTTTTGGGCTCTGCATTTCCCCAGCTGCAAGAAGTGTCTTCATCAACAACTAAATAAGTAGCAGAGAAATGTTTTTTCTTGCACAGTTGTGAGAGCAGTCTGGCTCCCACACAGTCAATGGCAAAATTCCCATAGATTTCAGCATGAGCAGGACTGGGCCTGTAATGGTGTTTGGAACCTGGCTAGTTACATTAGCATTTAGTCCATAGTTTTTCTAATTTTGAGCCTGGGAATAGACACTTTGTAGTTTCTGCTTACAGATGCCTGACCCTTGTCCCTGTGTATATGAAAGTAGGACAGTTAAATGTTGCCTAATCTTCAGGATGAACCCATAGCATATTTTGTGCTTTCTTTCTAGAAGGCTTACTATTAATTGCTGGGGAGGGGAGGAGACTATTTTTGGGTTTTTAATTTTTGTTGTTTTAAATCAAGCGTCTGCCTTTCATGATTCAGCATGACTTAGTCTTTTTATATAAGATCTCTGGTATTATTGGCAGTATCTCTTCTATCCCTAGACCTACTAGACGAGTTTGAGGAAATGAATAAGAATATTGAAAGGAGTTTTGTGAAGAAAATGGAATTTGACACACAGGTTGCTATACTCCTGCTGATTCGCTGTGTTTCCTGTGTAAACAAAATGTGGCATTACTTTTTGTGAATTGCATCCATTATTTGAAGAAGCTATAACTGAAAATTATTGCCAAATTTTGTCAGTTCAGTGACACAAAACATTCTGAAACAAGGTCATCTCTATTTCTGATCTTTGAGAAAGTTGCCAAGTTTTAAGAAAGCAATGTCCGTTCCCCCTTCCAGACCCTCTTCTTTGCCAGATGTTAACACTCAAACTGCATCTGCATTCCTGAGGAAGCAGTATGAAGACAGGGATTGGCTTATTTTTTCTGGAGTCTGAGGGACAAAGCATGAACATAAACTGAAAAATATCTAAGTGGTGTGTTCTTGTTTTGGCCTGTATGTAGAACTCACAGTAGTATTAATGTAGATTTCATGCATGTGTTTAGGAGTGACAGAGGTGAGAATATACCTGTGTGGTGTTCTCAACACATTGGTTCTGTGGTTCACGTTACTATGTTTTTAGGTCAAACATGGATGTTGCATCTTAAGAAGAACTTGTTCATTTCTTCCTGCCCCTGTCATTTTTTTCCTATATAGAAGGTAAGGTGACGAGGCATCAAACTTTCTTTCTTACTAATTATTATGTATCATTCCAATAAAATTGTTTTAGAATGTTTTCTCATTATATTAGTTTGATTTTTGGAATGTTTTCTCATTATATTAGTTTGTTTTTGGCTTGGTATTTTCAGTGTTGGAAAGGATCCTCTTTGTTTAGCTTGCAAAGCAAATCTGAGGATATTCAACCAAAAGAGTTGCTTTAAAATTTCAGTATCTGTAGCAGCCACAAAATTAATGCAGTGAATTCATTCCCCTCCCCCCCATTACTATTATTTCATGTTAATAGTTTCGTGCCCTGTTGCTGGAATTAAGCTTATTAGTCTCATTGATGTATTCACACCACTTAAATGATCTGGGTTAGAAAATATGTGTCAAATATAGTTTTTACCCCACATCTACACTCCCTCCTCAAACTGATGTTGAACCTAATTGATCTAGATCAATGGTTCTCAACCAGGGGTACGCGTACCCCTCGAGGTACACAGATTTTTGAGGGGGTACATAAGCTCATCTAGATATTTGCCAAGTTTTACAACAGGCTATATAAAAAGCACTAGCGAAGTCAGTACAAACTAAAATTTCATACAATGACTTGTTTATAGTGCTCTGTATATTGAAATATAAGTACAATATTTACATTCCAATTGATTTATTAATTATATGGTAAAGATGAGTGTGTCAGCAATGTTTCAGTAATAGTGTGCTGTTACACTTTTTTGTCTTTTTATGTCTGATTTTGTAAGCAAGTAGTTTTTAAGTGAGGTGAATCTTGGGACGGTATGCAAGACAAATCAGACTCCTGAAAGGGGTACAGTAGCCTGGAAAGGTTGAGCACCACTGATCTAGAGTGTATGGATAGATCAACCAGCTTCAGCACCTTTTGTAGTAAAGCTTGTTAGACAACCTAGCCTGCGTTGCCACAGTGGATATTGAACTCGGTTGAACCTGTCTATAAGAGTGGGACATGTTCATACTGGTTGCAGGAGGGACAGTGGGTCACATGTTTGATGTTACATTAAACTAAATCATAGTTCATTTTTGTAATGTGGCGATTGCTGCAGTGATATTAAATAGGTGGGACAGAAATCTAACTTTCACCTTTATTTAGAGGTTCTGTATTTATATCAGCTCTGTAAGATAATAAAAAAAATGATTTGTCTTGGGGCCCAATCCTGCTATCTTTATACATGTGAAAGTCCTGTTGAGTTCAGTGGCAGTTTTGAGTTTGAATCTGACAAGATCAGGCCATATAGATGCAGCTTCACAATGAAGTTCCCTGGTAAAAGAATCCTCCTTCAGCAGATCAGGAAACAACATATTAAGGGCCTGGTCCTGCAATCCTTAGTTATGTGAGTAACCCTGACTCATAAACGAGTTCTAATAGGAGTCAGGATTTCCAGGATTGAGTCCTAACTCACTGCAGTTCTAATATCTGATCTGGCTGGTTGATTCAGTAGCCAAATGATAGCTGTCAGAGGGTCTATGTGCTTTGCGTGTTCAGTTCTTAAACCAGCTAGCAATCTTTCTACTGGATGCTATAGAAGCACTAAACTGAATTCCCAACCATAAATTGTACTGTACATTGTCACTAGAATTCCAAACTATATTCACGTGTTTTCAGTTGAACTATTATTTGTATGTGTGTGTTTAGGTTTTTAAAGAATGTTTTTGAATGAGGAAAGGGCATATTTACTTACCTATTTATAGGATGAACTTTTTTCTTGTTTCTAAAACAGAATAAAGGAGAATTGGGAGCAGTTATCACAGTTACTGTCATGTCTTTGAATAGTGTCTTAGTCCTGTTGTATCTTCCACACTCACTTGCCATTATTTGGTATTTTAATAAGTGGTCCATAATGTCATTTAGGAAAAGTGTCTTTTGTGGTCTCTCATCACAAGGAATCCCATTTGCTTTTACCTTATATGTTTCACTTGTATAACACAGATTCATTTCATGTTTTGTTTACTGTTTTAAAAATTTAGTCTTAAAAGCAAAGAATATTGTTACTCAGAAATGCAAAGCTCTTCAATAAAAAATGAATTCCAAAAATCTGCAATAAAAACTGCATGTCTGCATTTAATGTTTACTTAACTTGCTGTTTCAGGTTACAGTGGTGTGCACTGTAATAAAAATTTTTTACTATACACGGTTCTGTTCATTTTTTTATTTTTTCCATATTTTGTTGTTGTTGAAGCATTTCAGTGTCATGTACTCATTATTCAGTTATTTGGAAATATACTGGGAACTGGAATGCCTCTGCAGTATGTATTGCTAATTTAATCCATGTTTAACTTGGATGTAGAGGAGTCCTTGCTAGCAATTTATTAGGGGTTATGAATTTTGTGGCTATAGTTTCACTGCAGAGTTAACTTGAGTTATCTACACTCAAGTTACTTCTCTCAAGTTAGTCTACTTTGAGTGAAAGTGGTTACTCTGCAAAATAACAGTTGAGCTGCTGTGTCCACACTGGCGCTGCAGTCCCTCGGGTGTGGCACTAAGACTTCTGGGGGAATATCCCAGAGTCTTTCAGTAAATTGAGCTGGTCTATGAATACTTTCCTAGTGAAGTGTGGGAGAACTTGTCTGTCATTTCTGGGTACACTTGGGGAACAGTGGGAAAGCATTGGAGGTCTAGTAGCACTCCAGTGGAAGCAGCCTGTATCCACACTACACAGTGGCTATGTTAGCAGCTGAGCAGTACTAACTCAAGCTTTAGACTACAATCCTCTTTATACCAGAAGACAGTTATCAGATTTCCCCCGTCACTCTTCTTTTCTCAAGATTTAACATGCCAAGGTTTTTTTTTAAACTTTCCTCATAGGACAAGATTTCTAAACCTTTTATCATTTTTGTTACTCTGCTCCGGTCTCTAATTTGTCCACATCTTTCCTGAATTGGACACAGTACCCCCACTGCAGCCTCACCCATGCCAATTTGACAATTAAATTACCTCCTGTCGTACTTACAACACTCCTGTTTATACAGGGGGTAGCTATGTTAGTCTGTATCCACAAAAACAACAGGGAGTCTGGTGGCACCTTAAAGACTGACAGATTTATTTGGGCATAAGCTTTCGTGGGTAAAAACCCATTTCTTCAGATGTATGGAGTGAAAATTACAGAAGCAGGCATTATTATACAGTATAATAATCCCTGCTTCTGTAATTTTCACTCCAGGCATCTGAGGAAGTGGGGTTTTTACCCACGAAAGCTTATGCCCAAATAAATCTGTTAGTCTTTAAGATGCCACTGAACTCCCTGTTGTTTTTGTGGATACACCTCATGTTAGCCTTCTGCAACTGCATTATATTAACTCAATTGGTGATCCACTATAGCTCCCAGATCCTTTTCAGCAGTACTACCACCTAGTCAATTATTCCCAATTTTGTAGTTATGCATTTGATTTTTCCTTCCTAAGTGAAGCACTGTGCACTTGTCTTTATTGATTTCCATCTTCTTGATTTCAGATCAATTCTCCAATTTGTCAAGGACATTTTGGATTAGTTCTCTCGTCCAAAGTGCTTGCAACCCCTCCCTGCTTGGTGTCATCCACAAATTTTATAAGCATACTTTCCACTCTACTATCCAAGACATTAATGAAAATATTGAACTGTACTGGACTTAGGACTGACCCACATGGGGTCACAGTAGATACGTCCTCCCAGTTTGACAGCAAGCCACTGATAACTACTCTTTGAGTATGGTCTTTCAACCAGCTGTGCACCCACCTTATAGTAATTTAATCTAGACCACATTTTCCTAGTTTGTTTGAGAATGTCATGTGGGATTGCGTCAAAAGCCTTACTAAAATCAAGATATATCATATCTACTGCTTTTCCCCTACCCCCATCCAGTGGACTAATACCTCTGACAAAGAAGTAAATTAGGTTGGCTTGGCATGATTTGTTTGATAGCTTTTCCTTATAATTCATCATGCTGTTCCCTAATTTAAGGGAGACCTCCAAAGAGAGGGGAAAGTAGGTTTTACCCTTTTTTGGCTTAAGATAAATATATATATATATAGAGAGAGAGAGAGAGAAATTTATTTTGTGTTGGTTTGTTTCAGCATTAGTACCCTGACACTCTGTGGATGAATGGACAACTATGAGGTTTGACATAAATACCAAGGAAATTAAATCTGATTAATTGAGAGGAGAAGTGATTTTTATTCAGATTATTTAAAGCCTCTTTAACTAAAACACTTAATGGAAAGGCTCTTTGTAAGGATTCAACACCATGCCTGTTAAACTCTTAGTTCCACTACAGCTGGCTCTGCATTGTGGCCTCATGCCCACACCCCTTTCAAGTTTGAGATAAAGTCACAGGTTTGGTTCTGCTGTGATCCACAAAACTCCTGACAAACCCAGCAGGCACTTAAACTCACTGGACTACAGAGTCATTCTCTCTCTCTGTGGTCCAATGACTGTTCCACTCTGGATATATACTTAAATAAGCACTGGACCAGAGAGCAAGTGAGGGAGGAGAGAATGACCTTGTGGTTTAGTGATTAGGGCACATACATGGGAGGGAGGAGACCCCAGCTCCAGTCCCCCTGCTCCAATCACTCATCATCTATCCACAGTGGAACAGCTTCAACTAGTGAGACTAATGTTTTCCAAGAAAGGGAATATATAGAATATGAAAGTAATTCTATGTGTCGTAATAGTAGGATGCAGTATTGTCCCATGGTGGAAGAAAGATGATATGAGGTAATACTACCAATAGAAAAGAATTACAGTTAAACCAAAAACAATTAATAATTACTATACTCATTGCCTTTTATTGAATGTCCCACATAAATAAAACTGCTCAATGAATATAACAATATAATCTTTCTACGTATGCTGTATTAGAAAAAAAGATCGCCTCATGCCAAAGGTCTAAAGAAGATATGTATGAACTACTTTGTTTAATAAAAGACCCCTGAGAAACATGGAAAACAATGTAAGTTGGCTTTCAGAACAAAAGAGGTTTAGAAGCCTTTAGGACATCTATCTTCTAGTTTGGTTGAAAAACTGCTTTTGAATGGTACAATGTGTAGTCTATCAAAGAAGACCTGAATCTG